CCCCCACACCACCACCACCCCCATGTGAAAATCCCCCTCAGCCACTGGTGCGTCACTCTGTTGATGGAGAAAAAAAGGTTTTAGTGCTCTGTGATTGTGTTTTTGTCTGTGCGATGCAGCCGGGAGGAAGAAGAGAAGGACAGGAGCAGAGAGAGCAGGTGAGGATGAGTGTTTGCCTTGTTGTGTTCTTTTTGTTTTGAGAGAAGAGCGTCAGYGTGTACGTGTGAGTGCGATGTCGTTTCTTGAAGGTTTAGGGGAGTTAAAGAAGGGGGCAAGAGGTTACGATAGAGGCAGGGGCAAGGGGGGTTGGGAGGGGGTGATGAATGGGGTGAGAGGGCTGGGGAGGCCAGAGGAGGTGAAGGGGTCTCGGTACTCACTGTAGGGGACACACTCATACTGGATCTCCAAATACTTGTAGGTCCCTGGGCAGGGGTCTGGGAACACGTCCGTCCCCGCGACCACCACACACTGAGTGCGATTATTACACCTGAGAGATGAGACAGACAAGGGGAGGTAGGGAGAAAAGGGAGAAAGGGGGAGAAGGGGGGAGTGGGGTGGTAAGCGATAAAAAATGATGAGTGCCATTGTAAGAAAGACAAAGAGGAGTGGTTATAAAAGAAACATCTTCAGGCTCTGAAAGACAGAGGGAATGGTAGGGAAGGGAGTAATTTCACACTACACTAGATCATGTGACAGCTGCACCCGGGGGGGAGGAGGGGGGGATCAAGGCTAGAAGGAAGAGAGGGAGGATGCAGAGAGCGGGAGAGTGACGTAAGAGCCTCCCCTCCTGGGGAACCGTGAGTGGGAGCAATTAGAGGTGGGAGAACGGAGAAGGGCGAAGGGGGGTGATGTGGGCTTTAAAGGCAAATACTATAAAATACACACTCTGAAAAACATTTACATACACATTACTTCTACTTTTACACCAAATTTCTGTAAGTCAGCTTTTCTTTAYGGCACAAGAGCAGCACAGGAAAAATAAAATTATCATTCGCATCCATTCAGTCATTCTCAACATATTTCTTATCTGGCTTTGAGCTTTCCTCCCCTGCACAGGCTTCGCCTCCCTTCGTATCTCAAATCTCTCCTGCACTCGCTCTATCATCCCATCATCTCTGGAAGTCTTTCTCCTTCCTCTAGCCTCTCAATGCTCTCCTCCACCCCCTGCTGCTTCCCTCCCCTTGCTTACTTGCGCTACTTCTCAAGCTGGTACCCTGAGCCTCCATTACATGTGTGATGGATAGCTGGGAGAGGGCTCCCATTGATCTGAGCTCTGAGGAAGAAGATGCTGAGCTCAAACATGGAGAGCAACAGCAGGAAGCCCTGCAAACGCTGCTGCAACAGCCCCTAAGCATATGCATCCTCCTACACGCACACTTGCATGTATCGGATACATGCCTAGATTACCATAAACAAAATAATGTTTTGCCAAAATGCAAAAGTGTTATACGCAAGAAAAAAATCTGCTCATTAACTAATTAAGAAGAGCTATTTTATAATTGATTGCTCAAGGGTCTGGATTTACTTCAAAAAATATACGTGCCTAAACAATACTCCACAGATTAAAACAACAGAGAATTCTGGAGGGATTATGCTGTGAAATGGTATCTTGTTTCTTCTGCCAATAACAGGCTCTGACTCTGCACAAACACATGCACAAGATCCAAACAGATCAATAGTTACCTCTGTGACATTATCTTGAAGGCRTCAGGCAGGTAGCATTGCACATTTTCCATCTGAAAGGGGTCTGCGTCGCAGATCTTGTCGTCGGTGCGGCCGTAGTTGGCC